AAAATTTTCGGCCGAAAAGGCCATTTTTATTTTGGGCCGGAATTAAAAAAAAAACACGCCGAAAATGCCCCGCCCCGCCCATCCTCGCGCATTTCGGTGCATCACTAACCATAGGTGAGAGTCGGAACATAGATTGACCAGTAAATCGAGAGCTTCGCCTTATTATTATTATTAATAATAAAAACATTTACTAGTGCAAAAGGATCAAATGATCTAGTAGTTGTCATTTAGCTGCAATTCTGAATGTACTTCTCTTTCAGTGGTAGTTGTAGCACAGATCACAGAGGAGAAGGCTGTTTCTTAAAATGAAGCTGAAGTGTTACTGTAATGCAGATGTGTGGCTTCTGGTTTTAGTATTGTTAGTCAGTCTTATACTGTCAGATGGGCTATCACTTTTTCAAAAATGGAAGTTTGAATGTTAAGCATAAAAAGCACTGTAAACCAGATGTATTTAACAAAGATATCAAATCTATTTTCTTATTTTTCTTCAGTGATTAGAGGAACAGTCATCCAAAACGCTGACAGGGCATCAAGGCTTGTAGCAGATCCGTGTATAAACACTGACAGCCCTACTGCCGATTGACCTGTTTTCTCCAGTCAGAATCAGCTTTATTGGCCAGGTGTGTTGAACACATGAGGAATTTGACTCTGGTACAGTGGCTCTCTGTGTATGTAAGATGTTCTTCCATAAGGCAGCGAGTAGATAAGTAAACAAAAAAAAAGATGAAGGCTGAGGAGAAGGATGTGAATGATGGATGGCAGTGAAAGGTATCGCTGGAAAAATCATAACAATATCCTGTTAACTTCTACATTTTGAGCACCAGTTCACATGAATCCATTTCTTCCAAACATCATAGAAGTTGTACAATATTTATGTAGCTTGAAACAGTGCCTTGTGTTTTATGGCTGCTCTGTTCTTTGTATTTGTGCATTATTTTACTGAGGCATCTGCTGCACTATGCAGCTGAATGGTATGATTGTGGTATGATTGTGTAAAGCCTTCCAGTTTTTCACATGAAAAAAGCCAAGCAGATTTTCACTCAGATTTTATGTTGTGATGCTTTATCATCAGCGCTTGGACATGGCAGCGGCTTGACGTGATGCTAAACTGACTCTGACTTGTTAGTTAAGGAATGCCAGTGTGTTACTGAGCAGTAGTGCGTATTCATGTCATCCTTCATATCACTTGGCTTATCACAATGCAAGTCAAGGCGAATTATGTTATGTGTGGTATGCAGCTGGGCGTAGTTAGCACGCAGTGAGACGCCCTCACGTTCCCACTTGTGAATAAAGCCGTGTTGTGTTGTGGCTTGGTGCTGACAGTAGGAATGCTGCCAGACAGATCCACCACTTTTTGGAGTTGGACTTAAACAACTTCCCGCTTTCAACTCAGGTGGAGGCCCATAGAGGGTGGGGCTTACATTCAGGGCAGGAAGGAGCCTTCTGCTCTCCCTGTGTTTATGCTTTTAAAATGTTTGTCTGTGCTCTCGCTCCACTTACACGTGCTGTCATTATGTAAACAAGACCTGACCATTACCCTTCTACAAAGGCTTGCTGTTGATTTGTGAACTGCAGGCATCATTAGTAAAAGTACACCCTGCTTGATGTCCAGACAGCATCGGGCATGTTTGAATTGTTTACTAGAGTTCCTAGAAAGCAGAATGTCTTATTTACCCTTTCTGAACGCAACAGCAGCAAATCTACTTGGACAACTGTGACCGCATCTTTACAGAAAACAGGCTACATACAGTATGATCCCAAACAGGACTACTGCAAATTCATATACTTTAACTTACTGTATGTCAATGCACAGTTTTTCACAGGAGAACAAGTGAAAATTGTTTATTTGTATTATTGCATTAGGACAAAACCATTCACATCACTAAGTATATCTTGGTGGCACAGGTGTTTGGCCAGCTGTGCACAGAATGTGTAATTTGTCCTTGTTTGTTTTCAAATAGTTCCAAAAGGAAAACTAGATCCACTTTGTCTATTAATCATTTTAATTTCTCTCTCATATTGTCAGATGATTCTTTATTCTTTCATCTCGAGCTGTGTTGTTTGGCTTTGTTGCATTAGGGCTGTCAGTTAATGTTGGAAATGGAAACTAGCAGTTGAATGTGGGGAGAGTTCAGTATTCCATTTGCAATGATCTGATAGAATTCAAAGTTCACAGCGTACAAGTGCAGCAGGCTGTGTTCTGTACCGGGGGACACTGGTTAAATGTACACTCTCTGATTGGTTGTTCAGTGAGCTGCTTCTTACTACAACACGTCTGAAGCCATCTGTTAGGAGGCTGCTAATCAGACTGAATTACCTTTTAATGTCCTTTTAAATGTCTGAAAATGTTGATGTAAACCTGTGAGCAAGGTCCTGTTTGTTCAGACCTGATCACCCCAATGCACTTAATAGCTTCTGATTTTGCTATTTTAGTAATTTAGATAAACAGTTGATTAATACCAGTTTAGGTGACAGCTAGGTGCTAGATACAAATCAAAATACACACTTAACATCTGTTAAATCATAACAGGATGTCCCCTGTAGAAATTAAATAGAGCAACTGTGCTTACTACAGTTTCATTTCTACTATAGGTGACAGTTGTGTAACTGTACAACGGCTGCCAGCATTAAGTACTATTCTAAAACAGCACACACAGTGTACCTGCAGTTTATTTGTATGGTCTTATTGTATTTATCTGTGGTTGAGCAAGAAAAGCATTCAGTCTTTTTCAGCGCCTCTTGGCTTCAGTTTCACACTTCGCTTCACATTCACACGGCTCCACATATTTCTCACCTCCCCGGTACAGTCGCAGTCACTGAAGCTCCTTCTGTAGCCCCGCACAGTCGCTTCAGAGTCAGGCTGCCCTGAACCACAAACGCAGCCGATAACACTGCTGCTTCTCTGCTGTATTCAGTTCCTGCAGAGGCATACTGTACATTATGAAACCACCGACAGTGCTGATAATCATGTTTGCAGTTCATGACGTCACTGTAATGTGGTTTTGTTTGAGGATGCACCAAGCCTCTGTATGAACTTGTAATGTGTGGCTTCTGTGCTAGTGGAGGTTCTCTACAGTTCAATTCAGGTTTAGACCTTCTGCCTTGACCGGTTGAGGTGAGTGGATAGAGGAGAGAGAAAAGAAAAACATCAGGACACAACAAATACAACAACAAACAGACAAGCAAAGGTTAATGTGGTGGGTGACTGCTCATCAGAAACGTAGAGCTCCAGAGCCAGGGCTACTTGCAGAAAGGTATAGGGAGAGAGAGAGAGAGAGAGGACACACTACGGGAGGGAGGAGACACACAGCTAGTCATGCGTAGTGGTGGTAGTTGTAGATAGTGCCACAGTTAAGGCTGTTGTACTAGTTCTGTATGTAAATACATGAATGCTGAAGGCACATTTGTGTCCCTTTGTTCATCCTTAGCAGCAGAAATGCAAACACGCCAAAGCCCCCCCCCCCCCGGATTTAGATCAGGATACCATCTGGTCACATGACCACTCCTCTGACCTCGTGCCTCCCTGCACTCCCATATATGTCCATGTATAGTGGATGAACAAGGTTTAGGTTGACCTCTTCCTTGTGTTTGTTGTGAACCTGGAGCCATAGATAAACAGTAGACTGATGAATGTCTACAGCCGCATGTCAAACTACCAACCAGCAACATTGAACATGAAGGTACCTGTTGTTATTCATGAAAGTGCAGCAATGGGTATATGGTTCACACACTCACACACCGGTGTCCTCACCGGGAGCAACTGGGGGTTCAGTGACTTCCACATTCATACTGGACAATCGATCTTCTGGTTAGGAGATGACTGCTCTACTGCCTAAGCCACAGCCGCCCCCTTGATAGCTACCTCCTGCCCTGCAGCAGAGGTGAGCATATATTTGGACAGCTGTGTCCTTGGTGCTTTAGCAGGCAGAAAAGCACATCATCAGGATGCACACCTTCCCCCACCTCCTTGTTCTTCTTGTAGTCTTTGTGGGTTAGTCACCATCACAGGTCAGATTTCAGCCACAAATGACAAGCACAGTCTTGGTAGTGCATGGTGGATTACATAAATCCTGTCACTGGCAACGCAGCTCATCCCTAGACTTTTAGAGGAAGACGAGGAGGGTGCAGTTTCCTCAAGGGGATCCCTGTGCAGAAAGGATGACGCACGCTGTCGGGAATTTTCACAATAGACCCAGTCAGT